TGCAGGGTCAGTAGACCATCCTGCTGAAATCTGTCTGCTAGCTGTGAGTCAGCAATGTCAAGCACCTTCATAATACTCTACTCTGTAGTGTTCCATGGGAGTTTTGGCCCTGTACGCATCTGCTTCTCTGTGTAAGCGCTTGGGTGGTTTTCTGATTTGTGGCACTGTAAAAGACTCCACCATGTGAGATGCCCTCTCAAAAAGGCTTTGAAAAGCATCATTTCTTTTGCTTCTCAAGAGTTGATTGGACACAACCAACAGCCTGTGCATACCAGAGATGGTCTGTGTTTTTCTTTGGTGAGAAGTGTTCAGACATTCTAGTTCTCCAACCACAGCTTCTGCTACCACAAGACCCAGCACAGTGTTGCCTTTAATGAATTTATGTTGCAGACCATTAGCAGTGGCGGCACTAGGTGAACTATTATCTGCCATCTCCCCCAGGGACATGAGGACAGAGTCATACTGTGTGAGCACAGACCGGATGGCACTTTCTCACAGTCCATCTAGTTTGGCAGAGAGGTTTCAGAGCAATGGAGGTACCATGATCAGATGTAGCAATCTGATGAAACATCTATATTTACCAGAAAGACCACTTAAGGTTCCCAACTGATGAACCCAGTCAAGTGCATCTTTTACCATTTTTGAAGCTGTGCAGGCCTTTTGTGTGACCAAGTTTACACAATGTGCTCCACAGTGCACGTATGCAGCTAGGGGCTGTTTCTGTCTGATCAGAGCCTGTGCACCTGAGTACTTGCCAGACATATTGGCAGCGCCATCATACGTCTGCCCACGTAATGCTGACAGAGGCAAGTTTAACCTGCAAAGTACGTCTAATGCCATGTTTGCAAGACACTCCCCTGTGGTTTCTGTCACAGAATAGAATCCGATGAATTCCTCATGAGGAATTAAGTCATGGTCGACATATCTGAGACACACTGACTCTTGTTCTTTGCCTGAGATACCTTGTGTTCTGTCTACAACTAAAGCAAAGTGAGTGACTGGAAGACATCGAATGGTATCAGCTATTCCTCCGATTATGTCATTGCTCATTTGGCTGAGAATCTCATTCTGTATGAGCGGACTGGTGTAATCCTGCTCATGTGTCTCCAACCATTTTTGAAAGGCTGGATCATCTTCTACTTTGTCTTTAAGAAGCTGGGACAGGTTTCCCATTCCCTGAGCATTACCTCTTAAAGCTAACCCTTGTCGGGCTAAATACTTGATGGAACCAACAATGTTAAGCAGTGCCTGCCTGGCTTCATCTTGTTCCTGGATACAACTGAGGACAGTTGTGAAGCTACAGTGTTCCTTTCATGAGCATATACGGTCACTGCATGGACATGCGAGTGGCTCTTTGCATGAATTGAAATCTTCTCAACTGCTCCTTTCCAGTATGTAAACCCTGTACTGACAAAGGCAGGGTCTGACTTGCTAGCAAATGGTGACTTTTTGGAATAGATTTTGGCACAGTGGAAACATTAAACCCCGTTTAAAGTGGCACTGTAGTGCAGCCATGGAAATTTTACAAACCAACTTTGTTGAAAGGATAAAACATAGTTGGCTCGATTCTGCACAACAATTTAACTTGGGATGAGGTTGTGCAGGCTTGGTACAGGTGGTAATATCTGAATCATCGACTTGTCTGTCCCTGTTGTCTGTATTCGGCTGATGTGGCTCGGTCAACTTAGAGAAATGATAAGAACAAGATCTGTCTGTTAAGTAACTCCAATTACATAGCTAACTTTTAGCAAAACAGAACTTGTAGTAATGAGTGAGAAAGAAAATTGAGTTTCAGTACACTATTGATTTTTTTTTTAATTCAGAGCATAATCATTTTACCTGCTCTTCTGAAACCTCTCCACAGACTGGAATGCTGCTCTCAGCCTGTCTCTGAGGAAAATCACACGATCACTCCTATGGATATCTAAAACTGTATGTTTTTAGCCTGCTTAACAACATTTTAACTCTTAGATCTCATTACCTGGTCACCTGTGCCTCCTCTCTCTGGTCCTTCTGTCTTTCACCTTCTCTGATACACACAGTGCAGCAATAATTATATATATATTTTTTTTTTTTTTCTTCAAGATGGCAATATCCTGTCCCAGCTTTTTACAGGGTGTCTCAGATATGTTGATCATTTTAATTCTTCAGGAGATATTCATTGGATTGTATTTATTGTCAGAAACCACAGGGGAGTGTTTTGTGAACATGACAGGAAATAATGGTAAGGATATCATGTTGCTTTTTTAAATTCAAATTGTGCCTTGTCAGAGCATACCATTCCTACCTGCTCATCTGAAACCTGTCTCTCGCTGCTCTCAGCCTGTCTCTCTTCACCTTCTTTGATCTGATACACATTAAAACAATACACCAAATAATTACTCATTATAATTTCAAATCATACATAGTAGTGATCATACATGGTCACGGAACAATCATTTTCATGTATATAGACGATCTTTGGCTGATCAAGAGCTCTCCTATTGGCTTTTAGCCCATCATGTCACGGCGCACAGGTCTCCTATTGGACACACCGATGGGCTCAATGATGACAAAGTCGCCTGTTAGCTGAATAGCGAATCTGACTAACTGGCTAAAACACAGCACAGCAGAAAGTAGGACTAACTTTTGTTCAGTTAACATTATTTGACTCGTGAGTGGTGGCACTGGAGCCCTAGCAGTAGCGTACCTCCTGTTGGGAAGATATTTTTATTCTTTTGCCCAACCAACAACTTAAAATTGTTGGTTGAGCTTTCTTTTTCTGTCGTGCTGGCTTCATACATACACAGGGAGAGAGACTGGAGGGGAGGGACACACAGGTCTGAGGTGGGCAAAACCAAATCTCAGAGCAGGAGGGGGCGCAGACAAACGTCACTATTTATGACTGCTAAATTGAGAAAATCTACCACATTGTTGTGTTTATAATACTTAACATTCATTATCAATAATTATGATATCATATTGGGTGGGTTGTGGTGGCTGGTTTGGATTATTGGGTGGGTTGCAACCCACCAATCCCCCCCATAAATTACACCAATGAATTCAACCTTACCTGTGGCTTCATTGTAGTAGACATTGATCCTGTCAAGCTGCAGGTCACTGTCACCGTGGTGTGTGCCAGTTGGGTCAAGGCCGTGCTCATCACTGATCACCTCCCAAAACTGAAATATAATAAAACATTTTAAGACGTTGTTGGCTGATAAAACATAAACAAGTGACAGGGGAATGAGTAGGCAGTAATGGAAAGTGGATGCAGATTATTATATATCGGGTTCTTTCATTTTTAAAGCTGATGTAGCAGTTCTATAGACGTTGATTACGTCATTGTTCAACTACAACTTCCCGCCGTTCAGCAGAACGCGCGCGCGGCCTCATCGCCGATTGGGTACGTCATTAGCTACGTCATTAACCGCCAACACGCAGACCTTTGTTCAATTTACATTACAGCCCAAAACCAGCGAAAACACTCATTTCATATGTGTCGCATTGCGGGAACGATTACGTCACCGAATAAGATGAAAATAATGATTTTAATCCTCCGCAGTGGTTAACTGATATCTAACGGGTTGGTGTACAAATCATTAACATAATGTGTCAGATTTGTAAATTAAGTCAAATAGATTTATATTTGTTACAATTCGACGCATCGCAACCTATAAGAGCAGCTCTTGAGATTTAGGTTTGGATTAAACATTAAAGTAATATTTTCATAAGTAGGACACAAAGCAGCACAGAGGACGCGGCGTTTCTTTTCTAAAATACATCGAGTTCAACCGCACTAAAAACATAAAAAGCTGTACTAACCTTGGCACCAATCTGGTTTCCGCACTGGCCGGCCTGGAGATGCACAATTTCCCTCATTTTGTTTCTGTTTGGTAGACTGACTGCTTCAATTAATGACTTAAAGTGTCTGTTAGCGTGTAGCAACGGCGCAACCATCTCTTTTATACTCCACCCTAAGCCCCGCCCTCTTACCCTGAGCTTGAACGTTGGTTGGCTCATTTCTTTATGATTGACGTACACGAATAGATTTAGACCAATGAAATCGTCCCTGTCTTCTCCACTATTGGTCCAGTGTGTCTGTCAATCACATTCATGTCAAAAGTATGACTACCGTCTAATCTGTCGACGTTGGCCGTGACGTTGGCCTACGTCCCTCATGACGGCGGAAAAGAAATGCGACACCGACAATAGATTTAATTCATTTCACAGCCGCATGAAAGCCATAGACTGTAAATATTATATATATATATATATATATTTATATTATATTATATTATTATATATTATTTTACATGCAAGAGCGTAAAAATAAAATGAAACTCATCGATCAGCTAATCTTAATAAACTATTTTGACTGTATCTAGTTATAAAATGTCGAGCCAATTTTAAATATTTAAAACAAAAATACACTGTTGGTCTACTAGATATTAAAAAATATTTAACAGCTAAAAAGAACAGAACCATTTATTAAATAAAAATTGTACATCTATAGTGAAAATATATCTTTATATCTTAAACTGTATTAATTAATTTTTCACTTTGACTTGATAACTTTTTTTGATTCATGACGATTTGATAGTTTTTATGTAGCCTACTTATAACTTGGGTTTTAATTAAGTGCTATAATATATATACAGTGTATGTACCGTATATATGTAAATCTCTATATTCAAAAATAAAATTACACACATTAATATGCATTGTCTTTAACTGAGAGATCTTCACTTGCTGTTTGACTGCTTTTATTTTGAAATAAAGTAAAGACCTTCTGGTGTATCGAAGGTTACAACAATAACTTAACCTCGTGAAAAGAAACTGATTATCATCAAGACACTAATATTGTAAGCAGAATTAATATGGGGTTTTGAAAACAGGACTGTGTGTTTCCTCAGATATAAACTGGATCTTTGTGGTCTAAAACCTGGATCTGAGATCAGGCCTGGTAGTTAACTGTGTTTACACTCTTTCACAAAGGACATTTCTTTTTAACATTTCTCAGTTATTTCTACAGACTGCAGTTCTTTGATATTCTGTTTGTGTGCTCCTTTCTTTTGACAACTTTCTGTTCTGTGATGTATTGATTTTTCATTGAGCTCCATACCACACTAAAAGGATAAGGTGTTGGCTTTTCCTTTCTGCACTTAGAATTATTTTTACGTTTCTTTACAAATATGGATTTGTTCTTAACTTCCAGTGAAATATAAACATTTAAGTAACATTGAAACCCTTATTAATATAATCAATTCAATTCAATGAGGCTTTATTGGCATGAAACTAACTTTAACAACGTTGCCAAAGCATAAAAATACAATTTGTCAAAATATTCAGACAGTACACAATAAACAGTGATATGAACATTAACAGAACATTAAGATTGATTTATAGCAATTATATATACAGTATATAGTGTGTGTGTGTGCGTTCTTGATCCCCAAACTTAACACTATTTGCACTATAGAGGCCTCTAATTAACATAAAATGACCGTTCACTGAAACATCTGAAGACAGTGGTAGTAAATGTCTCGACCATGGTTGTCAGATGATGCTGTAGGGTCCACAGCAGTTTGAAGGTCTGCCACATCTTGGTCACTTAGAGGTGAGGGGAAATCTGGGACCACAACCCCACATTCTGGAAGGTGCTCATGACTGTGAAGGGCACTCTCCCAGTCAATGTCAAGTTCTTGCAGATCCTAGGATTCAAACAAACAACTTTACTTTGACAACCCTTGTTTCAATTAAGCAAAAATGTTGGCCAATTCCTATTCCTATGACAAATGAATAGGCCTTGTTGTTTCAGTTGTTGAGAGGACTGTATGTTCAACAGAGATAAATGCAGTAATGTAAGAATGCACCTCAACATTATCAACCTCGGCTGTGCTGTTTTGCAGCAGCCCCATTTGCCACAACTGCTGAGGGGTCATGTTTCCTTCTGTGCGGAGTGGGTGATGGTTCCAGCCCTCAGTGAAGGTTTGAAGGTCACTGCGTAGACGAGGTAGGAACACAAAATGCACCAGGAAGATGTGCAACGTGTTTGAGATGTCTAGCAGTCCCTGTTCTTCGAGACTGTGCAGCACATCATAGTATGTGCTTGTTACTGCGGTCCACACATCCCTCCAAAGCCGCTCGATTCGGTCATGAAAAAGTTGTAAGATAAAAAACAATCACAGTTTATCTGTTGAGTGAGGAATAGTGTAAATTGTAAAAAGGGGCACTTAAATAATAAATAAAAGTATAATACAGTACTAAACTGTAGAGAATCAGACTTGTAGCATTGCATCAAACAGCATCATTTGGAATTTCTCTGTCAGGGTCCAGTACAATGTCAGACCAGGAGACTGAGATCCTTAGGCAACGGGGTACTGGGGAATGGAATCAGCCCCTTGTTCATATGGATTTTACATGTGCTGATAAGGCAATAAGTTGTTTTCAGATTGATGTTGTTAAATTAATTAAGTGCATCATATCTATAGTCTTGATAACTACACACAGTGATAAATTATGCTGAGTCAAGGTTCAGGCTATCTTGCTAAACATTTAATCGGGCAATATCAATGTTCTCCACATCCTGATCACCTCAGATCCTGAAATATGTGAAGAGGTATTAAAAGATGCAAAATTCTATATCCAGTTATTATTCAGAACATCCAAATTGACTTGTGTGTGTGTGTGTGTGCATATCAGACTGCACTGTCTTTTGCTTGAGGGCAAACCGTTCTTATCACAGGAGGTCAGGAAGAAAGCGAGGGCAGTAGATGCCCTATGGCAGGTTCTAGGTACAGGACATGGACAAAGATCATAAAAGTACCACTTTAATAATACTGTGACTTATGTCTGTCACAGATCACAAAAACGAAGGAGGACCCAGATGCAGGATTCACTAAAACTATTTATTCTTTAAACAAAAGGCAAACAAAAACTTACTTCCAAAAAATCCAACAAGAGAAGGAGCCACGGGTAAACTGACAAATGACACCAACAAACACATACAATGAACTGACACAGAAGGGAAGAAACACAGAGGCTAAATAGACATGGGGCAATCAAACACAGGTGAGACTAACAAGACACAGGGGAAGACAATGAGGGCAATCACAATGGAGGGAAACACACAGAGGAAGGAATGGACACAAGAAACACTGAGGACAACTCCAAAATAAATACATGAAACACTGAAGACACACAGAACTCAAGAATGAACAAAACACACGAGAACATAAAGAAACACTAAACACTGAAAATACAAAACTAAATAATACCAAATCATGACAAAGTCTAAGCATAATTTGTTGAAACGGCTTCATTTAATAGTTTTACATGCAACCATAGAGAAATTATCCATAAACCCATGCGTCACAAAATACTGTATATTATTTGAATCAATACCTTTCTGGAAAAGCCATCTATGCCCCCCAAAATGACTATGTTGTACCTATATAGGAGAAAGTCAAATTTAGTATATTGTATGTGTTTGTTACAGATGATTCATTCATTTGACAATTTCATGTGAAAGCAACTTACCTTGAGTTTGTGGTTAGTATCCACATGCACAAGAGATAGGGGGGCTCTTACAGAGCAGCTTCTTCTCACAACACAGCCTAACTGTGTCAAGCGAGCAAGAATCCCAGCTGCATCTACTCTATGCATATAGCTGCTTTCATTCTGTTCCACTGTACCCTGTGGCCTAAGGAGCTCAGTCTTCCCATTACCAATCTGTAGCCAATATTTGGCATTTCAGCTTTAATGTTAGACACTAAGGTGTCTAAAAATTTAGTCTAAAAATTAGTTTAAGTTCTACTTCCACAAGAGTGACTTTAAGCTGACAACACTGAGTGTCCTCTCTGCTCCTTTACAGCTGCTGAGAAATATTCTAATGAACTTCATTGAAAAGTCCGAAAGTCGAAATGCATTGAAACAAGATTGATTTTTTCATTTGCTAAATTAACAACACAGTTTTTTCTAAAGAAATTTACGTTATTGCCTTTTAAAACATTCTAAATGTGCTCACAGTTTGCTGTCTGACATTAGGCTACGCAGACAGCTGCGAAGTCGGTTTAAGAGCCGTTGAAGCTTACAGGCGGATCCTAAACCCTGTTGGCGCAACTGAAAAGAGGACAGTGTACTAAAATTCAAATTGTGTCGTTCATTTTGTTTTCTACTGTCGTAATAGCCTATAAGAGCTCTAGCCTAATTTTCCCATTCATTAAAACTAAAGCAGCCTAAGAAACACGGTGAAGTCCGTTTCCACAAGCTGCCACAGTGTTCAGTGTTCTTCTTTCAAATGTTACTTTATCAATTCAATTCTTTAGAAACAATTAGCACCATTATCATTCAAATAAAAACTGACTTCACGTCTTTGAAGTTGGTGGTCCATAATTATTCCATAGATAGGCTACGTCAAAAGCCGCGGGAGCTCCGGAGTATTTGCGGTTAAAGAGTAACCGCCCATACGGGACGCGCTAATCAGTACAGCGAACTCCCCAGCAATAGCGCGGCGTGGACGTGATTGGCCGATCCTGTACCCGTTTTCTATTGGTTGATTCGTCATAAAATCCGAGAGCAGAAGTTTGAGCTGCGAGCGCGAGAATATCTGAGAGCAAGCAAACATTAAACCCTAACCCTAAACACAAGCAGCAACTATTTGAGTACAAAGAGGTTTTTGAGAGAAAGAATGAAAACATCTGAATGTAAAATCAATAAGTATTGCTCTCAAAACTTAAAAACCCGTTCTTAAGAAAAATAACATGCTCTTAAATAAAGATAGTATATTAATCCCATAGTTTTGGTTTCATGCTGGTGCTCAAGGGCGACATCTGCTGGATGTGCTTCGAGACGAACACTATAACTTAAGACAGAACTTTACACCAAGCTGGTGCAACAGACCACATAACCACATGTTTAGATTAAAGACGTTAAATGTTTAAAACCTTAGAGTACATGTATGAAGACAAATTCACTCCCTCATAAACTTACATGATCCTTTGGGACCTGGGGGGCCCCTCTCCCCCAGGCGCCCCTTGCTGCCCGGGGGTCCTGGAATGACAGCATTTCTTCCAAATGGCCCGAAGAAATCAAACACTGACAGACACAGAGGGACATTAAATTGTAATTTTTAGTTCATTCTATCACAGCCCTGATGAGAAGGATTTAAGTCTTGGTGCATGTCTTTATATTAGCTGCCCAGTACAGACCTTGTTGCTGTGAATCATAGGCTGGGCGTCCTGGGGGTCCCGGGGAGCCTTGGTCTCCAACTGGGCCCCTCTCTCCTTGTGGACCCTGATCACCAGGAGGACCAGGAGGACCTGGAAAACATGAATTAGTGGCATCAGAGCGACAGGTTTTCTCAGACATCACATTCTCCCTGCTTTAATCCATCCTAATCTCTACCTGTTTCATCCTCTTTGAATGAACTGTAATAATAGTGATTGTGCTTTTTATTAAACATGACTGTGGTCTTGAAACCTTTTGCTTTTCTTCCTTTTTTTTATATTATTTGGAGGATGTGTCCTACATCTGTCCCTTTTTAGCCCAGATGAAATGGACCCTTCATTTTGTCCCCAATTATCATTTTCTATTATTTGGACTTTCCCTCACCAGCTTGTCTGCTGCGTCATGCTGGATGAAAGAAGCTCTTTTATTCCTTAAAGCTCACTGAGTTTATCAGCCGTCATCACTTCCATATTTATCTCGTGCATCTTGAGCATCTGATTTTTAGCTTTGTGTGGTGAACTTTGGTAATGTCACAACTTTCCCATCAGAGTTTCACTTCAAGTCTGTGACACTTTGAGTCCATGTCAAGGGTTGTCATACTGACGCTCATTTTCTCTTTTTTATTGCCTGGTCTCTTTTCTTAGTAGTTATGACTTACCTCCTGATGACCATGGCCAGTTCCCAGATGGAATCAGTTCTCCTGCATCTCCTCTGATTCCCTAAAAAACCCCATTAAATCAGTCATTTAGAACTCAGTGCAGCAGTTTCACTCGTTGTTTTAATGCCTTGAGTATTAAGATCAGGAGCAACTGGATGAGACCGCAGGCAGGATGTGAAATGACACACTTCTTATTTTTGTCATGTTGAGTCATGTATTTGTTTCTTTCCATTTGTGTTTAGTTTCACAATGACACAGATTGGATTGGACTTAGGTCTTCAGAAATGATGATGTCGTTATTATTTTTAATGATCTTGGTACCATCATAGTACGGTAATGATGGCTGACATTTAGTTTTGTTTTGTGTCTGAGTTGACTGTAAACCAGTTTAAAGAATTACGAGTCAGCTGTAGTTTGACTCTGTACCTCAACTTTAAAGAATGGCTGAACATCAGGGAAGCTACAGAAGTACTTTACGAACACAACAAACTGTTTCTGACTTGTGATCAGAGTTTAAACCGTCTGAAACTTTCAGTAGCCTTAAAAATGTTCAAATCCGTTTATTTCAAACTAAATGAATCAATATGATGTCAAGTCTTATAAAAACTCTTCAGGAATAAATTATTGAATAGATATGAGCTGGAGCAGTGACTTTCTGTTTTTATATTTGGTTGTTTCTTGGCTGATGGTCTTGGTTAATCTGTTCCCGTTATTTTTGTTGTTGTTTTGTCTAAAAACTGAATTTGTTTTGGCCAACAAGTCCAACATCATACACTGATTGATGAAAACATTTTTACTTTTCTGTGAATAATGCACAAAATTAAGAAGGGGTAGGACCAGAAAAGGTTTTAACTTCTTCCTATCCCTTTTTGAACATGAACTATATTATTTGAGTTATTTATTTGTTGCTATGGATCATGAGGATCCAGTTTGTTTTGTTTTTTCCTTTTTATTTGTGTTTGTATTTTCTTAACATGTTCAATAAATTGACTAATAATAAATAAAGTCAATGAAATATTCAAAGATATGGTTAACAATGCAGTTTCATTTGATGTGAATATTCTGGATGTAATATATTCATGTTTTTAGAATCTCCTCTGAGACAGAATAAAGTTCTGTGGGCTTGAAAAATGTTCCTTTACGGTAAAATCCCGCAAACTGTCTAACTTGCAAACTCACATGTATTGGCAACTTTTTGGTAATAGACCTTCATCAGGCAAATTAAGGTTTGCCTAACATTGCCACTGCTAGACAGTGTGTGGGAATTTACCTCTAAGTTCTTGAGCACATTGAACTCCTACGCATCCAACATATAAAATGGATGTGCAAAAGTTTTTTATATTTACAAAAATGTCCAATATTTGTACTTTTGTACAAATAGGGAAAATTGTGACTCAGATTAGAATTAAATAAAATAGATAATAGAATAGAAATAGAACAAATTTAATAGAAATAAAATCCAATGTCAAAGAATAACATATCTTGTTTTTTAAATGTATTTTTTGTTATTTTTGCCTTTGAAGAACTTTCAGTTTGTGTTGATTTTGGCGCCCCCCTGTGGACAAAGCAGTATTATCTCTGCTGATTTATTTTATCCTATCCTGGATAGGTGATGTTTTCTGACAAATAATCTCAGCCTGCTTTCTTTGAACAGTTGAACATTATACGTGGGAATATTTGCTGTAGAAAGTTTGTTGTAGTGAATCTTTATGCTCATAGTCTTTTTTTTCTTAATTAGATATATAGAGGCATCAATAGAAACTCCTCACACCGGCTTAAACTATGACTGACGTATGAATTTTAGATTCACATGTGTAGGTGTTGAGATGTTTTGAGCATTATAATGAAGTTTATTTTTTACCTTCTGACCATCTCTGCCTTTTGGTCCTTGATCACCAAGATCACCCTGAAAATAAAGAGAGCCCTGCATGAACCAAACTACTTTACAGAATTTAAACGGCCTTACAATCCCAGCAGAACTCAGAGGTCCTCTGTTCAGGGGTTGTTGGATCGTAGCTCCATCACTTTGGAACTCTCTCCTTTAAAGGCTTTATATGCAATTTTTTGATCCAGCAGATGTCGCCCTTGAGCACCAGCATGAAACCAAAACAACTTTATCATGCTGGTATCTTCACACTGCATGTAAATTTACCTGAAATGAGCGTGATCTTGAAACACAGTTAAGCAGTGAGTACAGTATGTTATTCTTCTTTTCTCTAGTCCCTCAATTAAACAACTTTTATACACGAGGGGAGGAGTCAGCCGGCCGTCCTGGCGATGTAAACAAAGTGAAGATAGGACTCTGAAAACTCTGAAAACATCACAGACAGTGGGACTCGGGTGTTACACCCATTGTAGACAGTCATGACTCACAGAGTTATTTTCAGAGGATATTCTTGATTTCTACATTTAAGTGTGAAAAATCACATTTAAAGACTTTAAAGAGTGCAAAATAGAAATCTTTATTATGACCGCATGCTCATAAAATCATCAGGAGGATTTACTACACACACTTTAAAGTGTTCCATATACATGTATGTATGCTAATGCAAAAACCAACAACCTCTGTGAGTGTTCATTAAAGAAATGTGAAGACCTTTAAAGTTCAACTGCAAAATGACCGCATGCTCATAAAATCATCAGGAGGATTTACTACACACACTTTAAAGTGTTCCATATACATGTATGTATGCTAATGCAAAAACAAACAACCTCTGTGAGTGTTCATTAAAGAAATGTGAAGACCTTTAAAGTTCAACTGCAAAAAAAAAAAACAGTGTGCAATGTGCCGACCTGCTAACAAGTAAAGCTGTAATGTGCTTCTAAAACTTAAACAATAGCAGAGTTTGACTTTCTATGTGTTCATTGACATGTGTCAGGAAGTGCAGCTTCAGTCATCTGGGGTGAAAGGTTTCTATGCATTGAGGAATAATATGCATCACATTTAACTCCCTTTCTTACATAGAAATTCAAACATAGAAAATGTCACTGGACACTTCGGATATGAAGCCAGTTGCTTATTCTGACTGCCTTCATAGAATCAAAAATGTGTTTGTGTTAAGAATGTGTTACTTCAGAGGTAATTGATGCTATGGGGTCACAGTCAGATGCAGAAAGTAGTACCATCATCACGTTATGAAAATTCCTGTTTATCGTCCTTAAAAAAAAAAGTCCCCACTTGTCTTAGCCCCTCCTCCTTCCTTAGCAGCAGGTGGATCTGGCCCGCTTGCTGTGGCCCCCCCTGCACTCCTCCAGGTCCACCGTAGGAGACTCCTGGTTCTCATTTTGCTTCCTCAGGATCGAAGGCAGCACCAGATCGAACAGCGCCTCAAACAGAGCGTCCACGTTGTACCCGGTCTTGGCACTCGTCTCGAAGCACATCTTCTCCGCGGGCAGGCTGTCGGCTTCCTCCAGACCTTTGTTTCGCAGGATCCTCCCGTAAAGAGCCACGGCGTCCTCGGGGGACACCTGTTTCTTCACCCCAGAGAGGGAGGCGGGGGAGGCGGGGGGAGTGGGACAAGCGGACAGCTCGTGTGGTTCTGTAGACTCTGAGTCCGGGGACAGGTGAGCTTTAAGGTCTGTGAGGTCGGCCTTGTTGCCTACGAGGGCGTAAATACAGTCGTGGTTGGCGGTATCCGTTAGGGACAGGAAGCGCTCCTCCAGCTCGGCGAGACTTTGCCAGTTGGTGACGTCGTAAGTGAGGATGATGGCGGCGGCGCCTCGGCAGTACATCGAGCCCAACCCGTGGAACTGTTCGCGTCCTGAGGAGACACACACAATCAATCAAACTTTATTTGGCGAGCACTTTTCATACAACAAATGTATCCCAGAGTGCTTTACATCAACATTTAATCAAACAGCAACAACATGACTCTCTCCCTCATCCCTATCCCACAATCCAAAAACTAAAAAATAACTAGATAAGATGCCTCACCGCAGGTTTTAGTTTGGACATTTGGAACAATTAAAAGACCACTTTTAGTCCAGAAGACCTGAGGGCTCTGGTGGGCTCAATAGGGGGGGCGCAAGGCCATTAAGAGCTTTAAAAAAACAATTCTAAAACAAACAGGTAGCCAATGCAGAGACTTTAAAATGGTGTAATGTCTCCTCTCTTTCTGATCTTCGGCAGCAGTCTTGCAGCTGAATTTTGTAGAAGCTGTAACTGCGAAATATTCTTTTTCAGAAGAGCAGAAAGAAGAGCATTACAGACAACAGTTTCCTTAACTGGAACACACACTTTTTAAACCATGCCGGCCATGTTCTGTTTGAACAGAATAAGGACAGCGAGCAGCTGTGCAAGACAAAGTCAGCAGGTTGAAAACAATCGACCCCTGTTTTCCAAAATATGCAGCAGGAGTCTTGAAAAGGGAGGATAGAAGTCTATCCTCTATAGAACAAATCTGACTCTTGATTATTTGATCCCTTAACTGAATAAATCCCTCCATCCTGAACCTTTTTAATGTTCAGCTTTATTCAAAACTGATTAAAGTCTTTATATGTGATGTTTTTGATCCAGCAGGTGTCGCCCTTGAGCACCAGCATGAAACCAAAACAACTCGCGCTGCATTGTTGTGTTAGCATGCTAATGCTAGCGATCTTTATTATGCTGGTATCTTCACACTGCATGTAAATTTACCTGAAATGAGCGTGATCTAGAAACACAGTTAAGCAGTGAGTACAGTATGTTATTCTTCTTTTCTCTAGTCCCTCAATTAAACAACTTTTATACACGAGGGGAGGAGTCAGCCGGCCGTCCTGCCGATGTAAACAAAGTGAAGATAGGACTCTGAAAACATCACAGACAGTGGGACTCGGGTGTTACACCCATTGTAGACAGTCATGACTCACAGAGTTATTTTCAGAGGATATTCTTGATTTCTACATTTAAGTGTGAAGAAATCACATAGAAAGCCTTTAAGAGAACCGTTGATGCCACTTGAGGGAAAGTCCAGATTTTGTTGTTAAATGTGTCCAAAGCATCTCTTCATGTCATGTCAGTGCAAAACACTTTTTTTTTACCTGGCTGTAGCTGCAAAACTGGCAAGTGTGTGTTTTGTATCTAGGCAACTACAGTTTATAGTATTTAGTTCAAATAACAGTAACTCTCATCCCCACAGAATTAGCTGCTTATTTTCTCAATAAACTGTCCTCCATCTTGGTCTTACTTGTGTTTCTGGAAAGTTCTATTTTGTGTAATTTGGAAAGACATGTTGGAGGAAGGGGAGTCAGCTCTTCCTGTAAGCGCCCTGTCATGTGACCGTTCAGAGGAACAGAGAAGGCAGCCAAAACTCCATCTTCATGGTGCTTGAAGCTAAACTGTTTCAGGGAATAGAGTGAGAGTGGGAATATAAACAGCTGACGGGCTGTTTTTTTTTTAATCTGCTGAGCCAAACATCCAACAGGTTTCTTGTCTCCTCTTAAATCTGACACTCTTTGCTGTTTGGTGTTTGCAACAGACGGCTTGACGTGACTCAGTGCTGATCCAGCATTTCTCTTCAGCTCTGACTGAATCTGACCAACGCAAAGGTCAGAGGTCATTGACTTAAGGGGCACAGGCAGGAAGTGTGTCAGGGGTGATATGAACGGTCATTTCTTATCCATGACGCAAAAGTTTGAGTATAATGTTAAGAGTCGAGTGTTTTCTTTTAATAATTAAAAAGATTCTGTATTAAAAAATCCATGAAAATAAACAGTTCCCTTGTTTTGTACTTCTGACATTTCAACATAAAATAACTGATAAAAAATGTGAATGAGAAAGCAAAGTGAAGTGCGATAATCTGTGATAACAGTACAACATTTCATAGATTTATATAAATCACCTTTAGCTATAACTCCCAGTTTTAAAAGCTATCTGCTGCTTACGATGGTTTTATTGATGGGGAAGGCAATAAACTCAAAGAACTGTCTCTAAAACAGCAAACTAATAAATCAATATAATTAATCAGTGGAAGCTGACAGTTAGCTTTCGCTTCATCTGACCGCCTCATAATGGTTTTAAACACATGGCCCTCACACCCTGTCCAACAGGTACAGTGTACACATTGCTGAGTGAGAAAGAGCGGCATGTTTACATCAAATATTTGTCCTTTTTAACCCTCAGGCATCAGTTTAATTTACTACCCTCTTAAGTCACTAAGGACAAAAATGTCCATGCCAAAAAACTGATATAAAAATAGAACAGACTGATATTTTTTTCTACTTTTTTTTTTTTGCATAAATCTCTTAAACAACTCCAGCCCTGCTCAAAACTATCAAATATTGAATAATTTTAAATGCCAAAATCATGTAATCAAACTGGCGTTTAAAGGGTTAAATTCCTGATAATTATTCAATATTTGATATTTTTGAGCAAGGCTGGAGTTTTTCAAGAGATTTATGCAAAAAAAAAGTAGAAAAAAATATCAGTCTCATCTCGTGCTGAAACTTTAAGGTGATATGAAATTAGTTAGCAAACAAAAAAAAAATCCAATGCAAACCTAAAGTCATATTTTACATTTATATTAGTTAGAAAACTATTTCACTCATTTAGCTTCGATCGTTATTCAATCAAGTGTTTTTTTAGAATTTGGTTCATTAAGTTTTTAGACCTGATGCTTATAAATCAGTTTTTTACCTTTTCGGCCAGTAGATTAAAAAATATATTTTATTAATATCAATTGATGATTATTAGATGTTTGCTGTTTCCATGTTGGCGTGTACAGAGGGATATTAACATTTCAGAATCTTGCCTTAAGATAGATGTCATTTCTGAAGCGTCTATATCAGACTGTTTACTAATGTCAAAGGTTAAAAGTAGTCCGTATGATCAATCGTCGTGCTGCAGAAGTACAAATACGGGAATGGCTGTGATTAGGTCAGAGTCGTCCTGAATTGAGCAATACAGTTAAAGGACAGTGACTGTGACATCTGTTTTGTTCAGCAAGCTGGATACAGAGAAGTAACTTACACAGTACATTGTGTATCAGAGTATGTTTTTAAGACAACAGCGTTAAAGTCACTATCATGACACAAGCAAACTGTGTGGTTCTCTGCTTTAACCACTCAGAGGAATGAGCTTCTTTTTTCCCTTTTATCATTATATCTATTTATTTTTATAGTATAGTCTGTGTTAAGAATAGTCTCCTTTAAAACTTTTTTTACTTCGGTAAAAATTCCAATGCTTAAATTTCATTTGGTATATAAATTGAGTCATTACTCATTTATATTGTAATAGATTAATTTATTTGAACTTTATATCGAATTGTTACATCGTTTTATAAACTTTTTTTTTGAAGATTAAGGTTATAATTGTAGTTGATGCATTGAATTTGAGGTCATGTTTGTGACTATAGATGTCTTACAGGTTTATCAAATAAGAATGTCAATAAATATAAAGCAGTTTTGTGGAGCCTACTATCTCGTCAGGTATGACTGTGCATAGATTAAGACATTGATAAGGGTTGTTTACACCGCCATGTTTGATTAGATTCCTGTTTTTATCCTGACATGAGAGGTGTCGATTCTGCAGCTCTACAGAAAGAATATCTATAATTGTTTATCTATAATTGTTAATCTATAATTGTTTATCCGGACAATCAACAACAACAGGCAAAGGCTGCAGAGAGCCAGGCAGACAGGGAGCGGTCACATGTTAGTGATTGCCTCAGGTGGTGAGTTCAGGGGTTATCAGGTAAACACAGACAGACAACCAGAGACTTAATAAGAGTTAACAGATGAACAGAGTGTAAAGAAATCACATAAACGTGGTTATTACCAGCTGTGTCCCATATAGAGATATTGTACGGTCCCCACTGTTTGAGGAAAAACGCCCCTCCGACGGTGCTGACGGTGTCTTTGAACTTCCTCTCCATGTACCTGTGGAGCAGCGACGTCTTCCCCACGTTCATGTCTCCCAGGAGAACCACCTTCACGTCGGGTCTCTTCATTTTCGACCCTTCGGGCATGGTGCTGGTTCGGCTCCCGCTTCCAGAGAGTTTTTTTTGTTTTTTTTAAGGAGAAGGAAACACGGTCTAATTCCCACGATGAATACCCGGCTGGTCGAGAGTCCTTCTGACTAACGCCATGTTACGAACCAAAGTAAAGTGGGACACTCTGGTTCTCCTGCACTCACACACTCGATGTGTTGACTGAAGCGAAACTTCTGAAAGTGACCAAGGTGAAACAGGAAGTAAGTGCGGAGCTAAAGTTTCGAAGAGCGTATGTTTACCCTGGGTTCTGCCTGTAAGGTTCATCAACTGGAAGGCTACTGCCCCCAACAGTCTGTTTGGTTGTTTTCAATAATGTAAAAAAAAGAAAAAAAAAAGATGGAGTAGCTAAATTACAATATCAAAGATCCAACATCCTCCTAAAAAATAAATATCTAGACACACATTTGTTGTTTGGGATTTTTAAATAAGGACGTGTGTGTATTCTGTGAAACAACCACACTGAATGAATCACTAAACACAAGCCAGCTTTTAAAATAATCATAATAATTTGTAAGGCTTTTTCAACTCATTTGCAAAATTAGCATGACTTAGTTGTTTTTTATAAATGTAAAACGTTTAAAAAATGTATTAAAAAAAGAAAGATGGAGTAGCTAAATTAAAATACAGCTAAATATACATTTTCACGTTAGGGATTAATTTTGTCAGCCCAACATCCTCCTAAAAAATAAAGAGCTAGACACACATTTGTTGTTTGGGATTTTGAAATAAGGACGTGTGCCTTTTGTATTCTGTGAAACAACCACACTGAATGAATCACTCAACATAAGCCAACTTTTAAAATAATCATAATAATTTGTAAGGCTTTTTCAACTCATTTGCAAAAATAGCATGACTTAGTTGTTTTTTATAAAGGCTGTTTTTAATGGTTAATCAAGGAGGACAAAACAAATATTTAGACAGTGAAGTGTGAGAGTAAACCCACTTTTTTTATGTCAGGGCAACAAGACCTTTGTCTTACTAAAAATAAAAAATAAAATCTCACAAATGGTTTTAGGTCATTTTCATGAAATAGAGTTGGCCTATATGACCTAACTCAAACTGTGTGTTGACTTTCAATGAATGCTATTAAATAAACTCTATTACTACTCATCGTGTAGGTGCATAATGTCACCAGGTGTTTCTGCACATTTATGAACTAACTCCAAAGGAAAACATCTTGAAATCTAGAAAACAAATAAAGTAAAAGAATAAGAAAAGAAGGAACAGGCTTAGTCTTCACATTTATTTAACTTTTTATTCTCATTTTTCATGTCATGGGTTTGTCTTAGTTCCATGTAATCCCAGGAGATTTAATTAATGTTTTTTTTTTCAGTAAAAGAATAGCTATTCCCTTAATTTTAGGATAAGGATAGGACATGTAACTATTAAGATTAACTTTATTGTCCCAGTGGGAAATGTGTCTCAGATAGCAAAATAACAAAATACATTCATTCATCAGTAAAACATGTCAGTTAAATAATCATTAAATGCCACACAAGTTAATTACTAAAACCATAAATATGTAATAGTTAAAAAAAAAAGTGATAAACAGTGCACGTACATCTTCACATCTTCACACACTCACACCACCTCATACATGCACACATACACACACACACACACACATTACAGCTTAGGTACTGTTGAGGGCTTTGATGGACAAGGGAACAAATGTATTTCTGAAACAGTTATTGTTTGTTTGTTGTTAAATGATATTAATAGAGTGTCCTTCTAGGGAAATGAGTGCCCTCGTTTGCTAACCATCATCTGGCGGTCATTAGAAGAAGTGCAGCTTCAAGTAACTTCCGCTTTTGGCTGATCAGCAGTGGCGCCTGCTCCCGGATTTCAACATTCGAGCTTTGCGGTGTCCGAGGCGCACTTAAAGGCAGCACGGTCTGTGTCTTGTTGTTGGTGAAGAAGAAGAAGCCTCATGATCAGGACTAGATGTGTGCAGCAGCTGTCAGCGTTGAAACGCGGGTCCAGTTTAGGTAAGAAGAACCGAGTAGAACAAGAAGAGGGGCTCCAAGGGGCCACAGCTTCAAGAGAGTTAAAGATTTAAAAACAACAACATGCCGCCACAGATTCAGATGCTCGCCTTTTGCTTGATCACACTTACGCTGTCGATTCTCTCCACTATGCTCTGTTTGAACAAAAAAGGTAAATGGAGCTTACTGTAGAGTAACTCTGTCTTTAAATGCTCATTCCTTGTAGCTAAGTTAGCTTAGCTTCACGCTGTAAAGCATTTTGATGCAGGTCGAGGAGTTGACAGGTCGTGTGAAACGGACGGGGGGGCGCTAGGACCCCGCGGACGTCCAGAGAATGGGCGGAGGAAGGTTAACCTCAGAGGACTGATCAGAGGTCAGTTAATGAAGGTTTGAGTTGTGAGAGCAGCTCGGAGCACTGATCCCCGGTCAGTTCACTTCAAAGTGATCCGCTGCGCACTTTGATCGCGACGTGAAAAGGATAAACACAGACGGCTAGCCCTCAGTTAGCATTAAAAGAGTTCATACCAATAAGATATTATAATGATTCCCAAGTTGAAAACTTTGATTATTACCCCAATAAGTCCTACTTCGGTACCTTTACGGGGCGGTGTGGATGTTTGGGGGTAAACGGTGTGATAATCCGCAGTGTCAGCATCTCCATTTCTGTGCTGGAGGAGACAAGTGGAGCCTTTTTTTTTTTTTTTATCCACAATGCAAGCGAACACAACGCGGGGCTTCTTGTGGTCGGACGTGGAGACGAGGACCCTGCTGAACATCTGGGGGGAGCAGGACATCCAGACCGCGCTGGATGGAAACTTCCGAAACAGCTTCGTGTACCGCGACGTGTCCCGGCGGCTGGGCGCGATGGGCTTTGAACGCACCCCGGAACAATGCAGGGTGCGGATCAAAAGCCTCAAGAGGCAGTACCTGTTGGCCAAGGAGGGTAATCTGCGGAACAACGGGCAGTACCACAAGATCTGTAAGTTTTACGACACCATGGAGAGGATTCTGAGCAACCGGCCGGTCATTGACCCCCAGGAGTTCATAGAGTGCGGGGCGGGAGGAGAGGAGGCCGGGGAGGGCCTGGAGGAGGAGGAGGATGGAGAGGATGCTCAGGATGGATTCTCAGAGAGCACAGGGGAGTGTCCTCTACCTGCTGAACCTGAAGTCAAGGTGGAATACCCAACTGTTCCCATCTCTGTTCCTGTTAAAGTCACAGTCAGCAGCAACAGTAAGTTCTCCTTCCACACTCACTTCTTCTTCACTTCATGGATTTAAACCAGGGGTGTCCAAAGTGCGGCCCGAGGGCCATTTGCGGCCCTTGAGGGGATTTTTTGCGGCCCGTGACTTAGGGCTGGGCGATATGTCGAGTTTTTAAGATATATTGATTTATATTCAAACAAGATTTAGGGTAAGACAATATCGTTAATATGGATATAGTTTATGTTGCATTAAAATAACGTCACAGAGATGCCAGGTCACCTTTTCCTCATCTCACTGATGATGACTGACTGTCTGTCCCTCTTCACCCTGCTCCTCCTCTCTCTCTCTTTTATTGTATTTAAGGAACATTTATTTTAGAATATTACTTTTTAAATTCACAAACAGGTAATTTATTTTTCCATATGTTTTCACTGTTAATAAAATACATATAGATATATATCGAGTATCGCTAATCAATATGGAGATATGAGTTTTGGTCCATGTCGCCTTACCGTGACTTCAAATGAAGAATCAGAAGATTTTGGCGCCCTTGATTAAGATCGGCACATTATCTTACTTTTCATGTTAACTAGGGCTGGACAATATTCCTAAAATAGAAAATGTTTAGTAACATGTATGTTGTTGTTTTTTTAAATCTACATATCAGGGGTGGGCAACTGGCGGCCCCCATCAACCCTCAATGTGGCCCTCAGGTCAATTTTTACACATCAATGAATTGGAAACATGAAGAAAATGTGACAAAATCTGCCATGAAATCATGAAAACCAGAAATATGTCCATAATCATTTTTGATCACTGGCATATTTTGAGTTAAATTTGAGACATAATTGATTTTTTTTTTATAATTGATTCATAATTGATTGTTTTTGTATTCTACAATTTGGCCCTTTGGCAGGGAGAATAAATTGAATGTGGCCATCCCTGATTTACAGCTTTTACTATTTTCCACATTATTTTGTAAACTATGAAAAAAAACCGTACGCAAAGTTTTTGCAAACAAGTGGACTGTTGTTTAACCATTTAATGACCTGAGCTGAATGAACCACGTTACAGGCTCTGAGAAAAAAACAAATAAAGTAGAACGAAGAAATCAAAATATTTGATTTCCTTTTATTAAAGGGTTTCTTTAGCGAGCCTTTTGATTCTGATCTACAAAGCTTTACTATTTTTTCATCTATATTTTAAAAAACTAAACCTGTGGTCCACGAGCGATTCTAACACGACAATTTTGGCCCGCAAGAAAAAAAGTTTGGACACCACTGATTTAGACTGTTTATGTGATTTCCAAAATTAGTTTCTTTGACTGTATTTTGCTTGAAGATGTTTCACATTATTTCCCGCCCTTCTCTTCCTTCAGGCACTTCGATGAGGTCACAAAACAGCGGCCAGCCAACCAGCAACCTATCAGCGAGAACGCCGAAACGACCAAGAAAGCGGCGTGCTAACTTCCCCGTGGAGAAACTAATGGAGCAGTTCCTGGAGCAGAGCGCCCAGGCCGAGGACAACTTCTACCAGGTGGAGGAGCGGCGGCTGCAGGCGGAAGACCGGCGCCGAGAGATGGAGCACGCCAGGGAGCTGCAGATGCTGCAGATGCTCGGCCAGATGTTCTCCAGCGTCTCCTCTGCAGCCGCTCCCTCTAAAGCGTCTCCTCCTGCTGCGCGTGCTCCCGTCAACTCCAGTGCCTCCTCGTCCCCGTCGTGTCCGCGTGGTCAGTCCGGTCAGGTCAAGCACCCCTCGCCCCGGAGAGACTGTTTCACCCAGCAGAGTCGTCTCTCGACCTCTGCTCCTCAGGCATTAGGTATTAGTGTGGGTGTCATGTGTGCAGCCTGGAGGTGAAAACAGCATAGTGATGTAAAGGTTTTTAATGAGACTGTCAAATCAATTCAATGTTTTTTTTGGAGTGTTTTGTTATGTATAGCAATTTGAAGTACATTTACACATAAAGGAATTTGACTTGGTGTATTAGTGCTAAACAATTAACAAGGAAAAAAAGCAGAACTAGCAACAACTTAAAGGCTTTATGTGATTTTTTTTTTTTTGATCCAGCAGATGTCGCCCTTGAGCTCCAGCATGAAACCAAAACAACTCGCGCTGCATTGTTGTGTTAGCATGCTAATGCTAGCGATCTTTATTATGCTGGTATCTTCACACTGCATGTAAATTTACCTGAAATGAGCGTGATCTAGAAACACAGTTAAGCAGTGAGTACAGTATGTTATTCTTCTTTTCTCTAGTCCCTCAATTAAACAACTTTTATACACGAGGGGAGGAGTCAGCCGGCCGTCCGGGCGATGTAAACAAAGTGAAGATAGGACTCTGAAAACTCTGAAAACATCACAGACAGTGGGACTCGGGTGTTACACCCATTGTAGACAGTCATGACTCACAGAGTTATTTTCAGAGGATATACTTGATTTATATTTAAGTGTGAAAAATCACATTTAAAGACTTTAAATAATACAGTATAAGAAGCTAATACAATATATAAAATATAAAAAAGAAAAAGAAAAAAACACAAAATGTACAAAAGGTGTGATGTAGGAGCTGTGCAGTGGACTATCAGAAAAAGTCTTAGTGTGTAACTACTCACAGAGTGCATGTAAGGAAGATATATTTTTAAATTGTGTCAATGTAATGTCAAATATAAATAGACTGTCACTATATTTGTTTCCTCAGTGTTTGACCGCTACTACAGTCTGGGCTCTACATCGCACAGAGGCATGGATGACGACCTTCTCTCACTAGTAAAGAACACAATCCCTCCACTGACGTCCAAAAAGCACAAGGGACAAGATGGACGCATCGGGATCATTGGAGGATGCCAAGAGTACGACTAACAAAAAATCAACTTGTCTGTTATGTCGGCTTCATCCATTATTTTAATCCATAGAACATTTAACCCTAATTCTTCTGTTTGTCTCTCTACAGTTACACAGGAGCTCCATACTTTGCTGCCATCTCAGCTTTAAAAGCAGTAAGTAATCACTCTGCTCGTGCTCCTCACAGATTTATCCTGATTTTTTTACTGACTCTGAAAAAGTTTCTTGTCTTCAGGGGGCTGACCTGTCCCATGTGTTCTGCACCAAAGAAGCTGCGCCTGTGATCAAATCATACAGCCCGGAGCTCATAGTGCATCCTGTTCTGTAAGTACACGTCCACTGTAACCCAAATATTATTGTTCAGAATTCTTTTGTCATTTTGACAGATCTTTATCCTTTTTCAAGATTTCCATTGATCCCAATACTTTGATTGTTTATAAAGGGATGACAGATGTGTGATAAAGTGTGTTTGTGTCACTTTTAAATAATTTGATCTAACTTTTATTTAACAGGGAAAAGCTCATTGAGGTTAAAATGATTTGTTCTCTTGAGTCTCCTGGCAGCAGCAGCACAGTTATTCAAGTTTCTGACAAACACTGAGTAGCCATAAGTATAAACATAATACCAGATACATGTCAATAATACACGAGAAAGACGTGAAACAGAAGAGCAAATGTTTGTCAAACGCATCAAAATTCAGTTTAAAACTATAGGTAACGACGCCCATGCCTTTTATTTATAGTAGTGTGTGTGTGTGGTGTAGATCCCTGCCTAACACATAATAACACTTTAGAAGTGTTTTAAAAGAGTTGTTGCAAATCGTGTTAAATCAATAGGATTTATAACATGAGGGTTATAATAGTGTTTTAGGAAAAATGTTGCCATTTCTGTTATAAATCTGTTTTCAAGGTGTTTGCAAATCCAACTATCTCTTAAGTAGGACGACAAATTAGCACAAAAAATTAAAACAAAAAAACTGCACACTACTCTTGCTAAGCATCACCAATTTATTAGAAAGAACCACACGGTCCCTGTGAAGCTGAACACAGTTGACAAAGGTTCAGAGGGAATGAAATCATGTGATTTAAAAAATAAAATAAAAAATAAGTGATGCTAAGCAAGAGTAGTGTGCAGGATTTTTTTCTTTTCAGCTGTTATAAGTCTCACATTGTTGTATGTAAAGTTATTTTGATAATCACGCTGCTTACTTTTTTAAATTTATATATATATATATTTATTTTTTTATTAGGTGCAATAGCGTGACAAACTGGTGACATATACATAACAAATGAGGCACAAAAAAACAAAGCAGACAAGGTCAGGACAACAACTCCAAAATACAGTAAAAAAAGATGAATAATAATAAATAAAGACAGCAAAATACTAAGACATCAATAGACACACATCAGACTACAACCAGCAGAACTACAAAACTATGAAATACCTAAGAAAGGATACAAGAAGTGAAAGAAGCCATAGAGAGAAGGGGAAGGAGAGAAGGTGCTTTGTGAAGGGGACTTGAGAGGTAGAAGAGAGTTGAAGAGTTGAGCAGTGTGTCTGTGTTGAATATGTTGATGTTAAACGATGTTGTGGTGTGAGAGGTGAGAGGTTGTGTAATGATGATGTTTTAGGGGTAGTTGACTGCAGCCGGGGTTTTGGGGTTGGTGGGTAGGATGGAGGGAGAGGCGAAGCTATTATTTTTCTTTTCTTTGGGTCCTGCAGCAGCAGCAGACCCTCAGGAGGGGACTTGTCACTTGCAGTCAATCGCGCTGCTCACTGATTCAAAACGTTGATGAAACTGAGAGGTGTGGAGTCATTTAGGAACTGCAGTGTATGATTACTATTTTGTCCTCAACAGTTTTAACAATGAGGGTGGAGGAAAGAACAAAAACAAGTCTCTATAAAATGAAACAGATTAACTTCAACTACCTTTTTTTAGTTGATCAAGGAAACATTGAATGCAGGGCTGATATATTACAATGCATTAGTTGTAGCTCAGTGAGCCTTACAAACTCACAATTATACATTTGTTTTTATGCATTATTTAAATAGGCTCAGATGAATGTGGGATTTTGATATCCCATCAGAAATTACCCGTACAAGCTTCTGCAAATATTCAAATCTTATTAACGGGATATGAAAATACTGTGAGCTACAGAGGCTGGTACACCTACTGGTCCTCAACTTGTGTGTGTCTCTATTCTTATAAATGTAATCCAGGATCGTTTAATGTGCAAGGTCTAACAGCATAACCACAGTCTGAAATCTTTTATTTGTGAATTCAAACACATATATCTGTCTCTGTCTCTGTTTGTGTGTGTGTGTGTGTGTGTGTGTGTGTGTGTGTGTGTGTGTGTGTGTGTGTGTGTGTGTGTGTGTGTGTGTGTGTGTGTGTGTGTGTGTGTGTGTGTGTGTGTGTGTGTGTGGTGTGTGTGTGTGTGTGTGTGTGTGTGTGTGTGTGTGTGTGTGTGTGTGTGTGTGTGTGTGTGTGTGTGTGTGTGTGTGTGTGTGTGTGTGTGTGTGTGTGTGTGTGTGTGTGTGTGTGTCTGTGTCTGTGTCTGTGTGTATCCAGGGACAGTCCTAATGCAGTGGAAGAGATAGAGAAATGGCTCCCCAGACTGCACAGCCTTGTGGTGGGACCAGGTCTAGGAAGAGAAGGCTTGCTACTGAAAACAGTCAAGGCATGTTGAATATATTCAAAATGTGTCTCTCTTATCCAGCTGATGTACACATACCAAACTAATAAATAATGAAATAAAAGACTGCAATGACTGTAGGCTACACAGGACGACTCCTCATGTCTGTGACTCTCTGACTGATAACTGTGAACATTTTTAATTAGACTCAGAGCGCATGACTTGTAGACTTTTGGAAATGTCAAAGTAAAGAGAGAAATCTTTTGTACTGATGATTCAAACGTTCAGTGTGATTTTTCACACTTAAATGTAGAAATCAAGTATCTCCTCTGAAAATAACTCTGTGAGTCATGACTGTCTACAATGGGTGTAACACCCGAGTCCCACTGTCTGTGATGTTTTCAGAGTTTTCAGAGTCCTATCTTCACTTTGTTTACATCGCCCGGACGGCCGGCTGACTCCTCCCCTCGTGTATAAAAGTTGTTTAATTGAGGGACTAGAGAAAAGAAGAATAACATACTGTACTCACTGCTTAACTGTGTTTCTAGATCACGCTCATTTCAGCTAAATTTACATGCAGTGTGAAGATACCAGCATAATAAAGATCACTAGCATTAGCATGCTAACACAACAATGCAGCGCCAGTTGTTTTGGTTTCATGCTGGAGCTCAAGGGCGACATCTGCTGGATCAGAAAATCACATATAAAGCCTTTAAATAAAAAAATACAGTGTGCTTTTCAGACCAACACTGATGAATTATCTTTTGGAGGAAATGTATACTAATACTTTTTTCCCGCTCTTTTTTTTTCTTTAGGAGGTCATAGAGAAGTCTAAAACAAGAGATATCCCTATAGTCATTGATGCAGTAAGTCTCAAGTTCCAGCTGTTAAACAGATGTGGATTGTATTTAAAAAGAGATGCACATTGACCGTGTGTGTGTGTGTGTGTGTGTGTGTGTGTGTGTGTGTGTTTCATCAGGATGGATTATGGCTTGTTACACAGCAGCCATCTGTTATTCAAGGGTACCATAAGGGCATCCTTACTCCTAACATCATGGAGTTCACCCGACTATATCAGGCACTGGTGGGTCTCTCAGCAGAGTCGAGTCTGTTGTAAAATGAATGAATGTTAATGTGAGTGTCTTTCTATTTCATCTGTGTGTGTGTGTGTGTGTGTTGCCTTTCACAGAACCGTGAGCCCATGGACAGCAGTGATCATCAGCACAGCCTCATGCAGCTCAGCGTAGCTATGGGAAACCTGACTGTGGTGCTAAAAGGAGAACAAGATGTCATCACTGATGGCAGTAAAGGTTTGTATCAAACAGGTTTAGGAAGTTTTTACCAACCAATCCCCATTCCTGTGAATCCATACTGTGATATTATATATATTACCTACTAACTTAATGATGATGGTCTCCATATTATTGATGATGATGATGGTAATGACGATGGTTTTTGTTTGATAACGACGACTTATAAGATGGTTTCTATACTGATTAGAGCTCTCAAGAACTGCCCTCAATGTTGTGCTTTGCCTCTGGTCACTTCCTGTCAGCACCTGTGTGTCCAATCAGACTCAAAGCTGATCGTTTGCTCTTACTCACATTGTTTCCTTTTTTCTAGATCCTTGCTTGTGTTGTTCTTACTCTCTGATGTACGTCGCTTTGGAGAAAAGCGTCTGCTCAGTGAATTGTAGATATTACTTTGCAGAAACTCTTTCTTGTTTTCAGTTATCTGAAAAGTGACTTCTTGTTTTTCAGTTTTCACGTGCAGTCTGGAGGGCAGTGGGAGACGATGTGGGGGACAAGGTGATCTTCTGTCAGGCTCTATGGGAGTGTTTGCACACTGGGCTCACTCTGCCTCTGCAGCTGGAGTGATCAGAAGGTGATAATCTGCTTTATGTTTAACATCTTTAGAATTGTTCATAGCTCAATTTAGACAATCGTATCATATACATAAAGCATTTTTTTAAATATGTGTGAACAGTAATTGAATCGCTTTAGAGCAGCCACAGCTAACGACTCATTTCAGGTCTTGAAACTGAAATAATATCGACGTCAATCTAGTGAATTTTTAGTCACAGTAAGGGCGCACTCACACTAGGTCCATTAGTGCCAGAGTATGATTGTTCTCCTCCTCAGTGAAAAAAGTGAAGGAAAAAAAACAAAAAAAAAAGGGTCCCATTCATGAAAGGACAAAGAAAAGTGCTGCAATTAATTATTTTCATATCATAGTTTAAAATGATTGTCGAGAGGAGCGGTCGCATCAATTAGGTTATATGTCATGTCCATGTTGTGTTAAAGTGTTTGAGCCTGTGCATGTGCACCTGTATCATGCCAAAGAACATCTGTTCCAATACCAGGGCCAAGGTACAGAGCTCTTAAACTAGTCAACCAAACTGCACTTTGGGGTCACAGTACCAGTTGACTAGAGGGGGAGGCCCTTATTTTGATATATTAGAGCTGAAACAATGGTAGCCATAAGTTACTTTATTCTTATACAACAATCAGCCACACTCAAAAACCAACTCACAGAATTCAACAAAATATACTCCACAATCCTCACCACCATTTTGATGCTGGTGAGTTGATGCCACAGCAGAACCAGGCAGGTAAACGAGGAGGAGAGAGGAAATCAGCACAACAATTTGAATATAATTTACAAACAGTCAGTATTTGGCAATCATCATGTTAGCAGCCATACAAAGTGAAAAACAAAACAAAAACAAACAAATAACGCCATGTATACAACTTATCCCACCAGTTTTATTTTACATCATTTTGTTACTATACTGTCCACCATGTTTTTCTTTGTCCTGTTTGCTCATTTACTTTTTTTGTCCCTCTTTCTAATTAATTCCTTTTATTTACTGACCCTTTTCCTTTTGTTTTGTTTGTTTGTTTGTTTTTGTCTAAATCTGCATCATACTACAGTTCCCCTCTTGTTTGTATCTCTTTTTTCCTGTTTGAGTGTGTGTGTGCATGTTTTTGTGAATAAAAGTTTTAAAAAATTACTTTATCCACAAAATCTAATTGCTTTGACAGATATTTTATTTTTTATAGGAAAAATGCCAAACAATACATTAAATTAAGGTTGAACTTTTCTTCATCCTCTGTGGGAAACATTACATTCCACCACTTTATATTTTATAGATTCAAAGATCAAGGGAATTTAAGACAGATTCATTGATTGAATCCTGAATGTTTTATATACACAAACTGAATGCATCAGTATGATCCTTTTGAAAGTAATGTTTAAAACCCATGTGTCCTGTTTCTTCCCCTAATCCATCTTTTTTTTCTTTACGTCTCTGCAGTGTGAATCCGTCAGTGGTTGCAGCATATGGAGCCTGTTCTCTTACAAGACAGTGCAACAGTCAAGCGTTTCAGCGACATGGCAGGTCCACCACCACATCAGACATGATCCAGGAGATCGGCTCAGCCTTCAAGAAGCTATTTGAAAGTTGAAAACATACACATTTATTCAACTTTTGTTTTTAAAAATGTATACATGCATTCCTAATTCTGGCAATTTGACGACTTTATAAATGAACACTTTTACTAGAAAAAATATAAAAGCACTTAACACTTCCATGACGTAACACGTGCATACTGCAGACTACTTTATGGCGGGATGTGGTGGATTGATTATTTAAAAATAATAATTTAAGTGTCATCTAATTTGCCTGTCATATTGGCAGATATGTCTGATGCAGAATATTTATTTTAAAGCCTGTACTTGCCTATGCCAATGACTTATTTTTGTGCAGCCCTGAAAGGACCTGATATTGTTATGGATACCAAACATCTCGGGGTAGCTACATTTTTCCCAAAGAGATGTTGAGAGAGAAGCTAAGAAGGATTAATCAGAAACCTGTTTCAATTTTGAAATAAATAAGATTGTGTTCGAGTGACTTTTTGAATTACTTCTTTGAAGCAGTCTACATTATTGAAATGTGACTTTGTTGCCAGAAGGTGAGGTAATGGTCAACAGACTAAACAGACAAGCAGTGGCTGTTGCTATGGCTTCTTTGCGGTGCAACAGTTGTGCAGAGCAATCATTTTTTCCCAGGCACTTAAACTAGCAGCCAACACATGCTGCTGCTGATCAAGCTTGCTATACAGATGAGTGCCAATATAGCCTCTTATAGTATGTGATTCATTTGAAAGATTTATAATTTGTCAAAAAGGCTGCCTGGTTCTTTATGCTTAAGTACATTAGAGTGAGTAAATCCTGTTGAAAACGGGTGCCTTTTTACACCATACATTTTTTTTTGCTGATTTTAAACTATATCATGAGTTACATTGAAACTGCTTCACTCTTGAAGTGGAATACAATCTTACTAAGACTATTTAAATAGTAAAGTACTTTTGAAAAAATTCAGTGGGAGAGGACCCCATAAGAATTTTTTTTGTAGCTTCTTACCGTAGACAAAAACAAGGACAACACTTGAGAGCTACAAAGACATTTAGATTTCTATTGATTTTTCTGCTAAAAAAGGATTTCATGGCGTAAGGAGCAGAATTTTACTTTAAAGGCTTTATATGCTATTTTTGATCCAGCAGATGTCGCCCTTGAGCACCAGCATGAAACCAAAACAACTCACGCTGCATTGTTGTGTTAGCATGCTAATGCTAGCGATCTTTATTATGCTGGTATCTTCACACTGCATGTAAATTTACCTGAAATGAGCGTGATCTAGAAACACAGTTAAGCAGTGAGTACAGTATGTTATTCTTCTTTTCTCTAGTCCCTCAATTAAACAACTTTTATACACGAGGGGAGGAGTCAGCCGGCCGTCCGGGCGATGTAAACAAAGTGAAGATAGGACTCTGAAAACTCTGAAAACATCACAGACAGTGGGACTCGGGTGTTACACCCATTGCAGACAGTCATGACTCACAGAGTTATTTTCAGAGAATATACTTGATTTCTACATTTAAGTGTGAAACATCACATAAAGACTTTAAACAACAATAATCCAGAAAAATAGTAACTTTGTTGAAAGGGGCAATTAGTGGCGCTATTAGTCTGCTATACATTTATGTCAGTTAAAAGAGCATTAACTTTTACCTCATCATGTACTAATAATACTAGCATTAATTTACGGTGTAGAAAGTGGCTTTTATGTGTGCTCCACCGAGACAAGAAATATGCCCAATAAGACGTCATAAAATGTGTCTGAAATCATGAAAATTGTGTGAAAGCTTGAGGCAAATAATGACACTCTCCGCCTTCCAAACAGGAATAATGACACTCTCCGCCTTCCATACCATTCTACGGTCGTCAACTCCAAACACACACACACACACACACACACGACCTAGCGTTAGCCACAGCAGCAAGGGCAGCCTCACGGAGTGGCTAACATTTTAACACACAGAAAAAAAACTTCCACAATCCAAAAAGCGAAGTAAGTAAGTAATGTGTTTTGCAGCAGTTTTGCCTCCAACTTGATCATTTTATTGAAGTTCGGTTGAATGTTTTTTATTTCCGGAGCTGAATGTTTTAACAGCTTTATGCTGGAAACGCTAATAGAAGAAGCTAACTGAGCTAACAGCACTAACACAGAGTCCGCTTTAAAAAGTGACAAAATGATGACGTTATTATAACAGCTGGCGTGTTTTAATGCTGGACTGTATTCTTACTGATTAAACTGTGTTGTGATTTGGCAGTGGGTCATTTTAAGCGGCTGTTTTCCTGCGTGTTGGTTTTTTGTGAATCTTTGTGTTTTGACACATTAAAGAAAAGAAAACCAAACAGCCTTTTGTAAAAACCCCACTTTGTAATACAACAATATTTCTGAAGGTAACAGTTAGCAAAACCCCCAAACTTGCAAAGATTATAAATGAGTTTGTTAACGTTGCTGTAGCTGTTAACTGTAACGTAGTTGCCGTAAAATGACTAAAACGTCGTAAAACACGTATTCCTTTATCTCATACGAAATAAGCAGTTAACATGTTAGAGGTCGATTTTCCAGTTGATTCTGGGGTTTTTTTCATCATGCATATCCTTAACGTTTCGAAATGGCACTATGCTAACTCACTATCAACCTTTTATCTAGCTTTCACAGAAAACCTGGCAGCACATTCAAAACGTAAATACTCCATAATGCGAATCTTTTGTGTGCTGAAGTCTTGTAGTCACCATCTTTAAATATTTGTTCCATTCGCTGTTATTTCCCTCCGTCTCAATCTCGCCAGCTCTCTGTTGGCAGATTCAAAGTACACGTAGCAATTACCAAAAGGAGGCTGACTCCATAACAGCCCCCCTTCCCCCCCTTCCCCCCTTTTCTGATTAGAGTCATTATTTTAACTGCAACAGCAGACAGCAGACACAATGCAGCTGATTTAACAAACAGCTGAGTACATGATAGAAGTATTTTTAGGAGTAGTATGCCAAAGAGAATACAATAGCAGCAGTTTAGATCTCACAATCTTCATTATTATTCTTTTTTTTCACAGGAGCAGGTACCCAAAATACATCCAGGGGGTGAAGACAGACAGCTCCACGATGTTGAACCCGACCAATGGCGACCCCAGCCATGTTGTTGTGAATTATGTGGAGGAGTATTTGGACCTGGTGGAATCGCTGCCTTTTGATTTGCAGAGGAGTGTGTCCCTCATGAAAGAAATCGATGCTAGGTATCAAGGTGAGGATGTGAGAGGCAGATGTTCAACAACAACACATTGATTTGTTGTTGTCAGAGTTTTAACGCCATCGACCCACGGATCACCATGGGGGGGTGATCAGAGGATCACCTGTGATCCCTTCCAACACTAAAAGCATAAAGCTACAGTAGCTGAGCGCTCTGACATGACTGACACTGACGTCCAACATACTGAAGTAGATCGGATGTCGTTTAAAAGCATGTTACTTTGAAATTCACAGTTTTTTCCCCGTGATTTTTCTCTGGCAGATGTTCTGAAGGAGCTCGACGACTGTTACGAACGATATCGCCGTGAATCTGACACGCTTCAGAGGCGAAAGCTTCAGTTATCTATTCAGAGGGCGCTGATTCGCAGTCAAGAGCTCGGAGACGAGAAGATCCAGATCGCTGGTCAAATGGTACGACTTTTATCTTTTATCTCCCAAAGAAAATTGTAAGTTGTATCTCTGGATATTATCAAAATATAAGAATGTACACAACACACATGGATGAATTTATTCCTGAGATAAACAGAAGAATATTGTGTTTAGAGATTTTACACCTTTTGTACATTTTGTGTTTTTTATTTGTATTAAATTCTATTTTATATATTGTAATATCTTCTTATTCTGTATTATTTAAGTTGTTGCTAGTTCTGCTTTATTTCCTTGTTCATTGTTTAGCACCAATACACCAAGTCCATGTACTCCACCATGTAGTAGTACTAATCATTTATATCGGTCACAAGAAAAAACAAAAACATTTTGACTGAAAAGGTTTAGACTGAAGCTTCATCTTATTACACCTCCCCTCGTTACAAATCTTATTATTTAAGACAGTTTGGTTACAAAACAAAACATGTCAGAACAAAATTTGTTCCAAGAATTTATTTCAAAACAAAACAAATGAAACAAACAAAAAACAAAACAGAAGTCACACTCTCAAAAACTAATCAAACCGACCTTTTAGATTTGTTAAACACCATTTTTATAAACAAAAATTTAAATCTGGAAAGTGAACTACACATTCTTAATTCCATGGCACAAGTATTCCACAAAAAATATCTTCTATCACGCTTCTGTCGCTCACTTTTTGTGAGTAAATGTATTTGGCAATAAACCCCGATTCTGATTCTGAACTAATCATACAATGAATTCAAGGTAGGCCACTACAGCATAAGATTTGGACAAGTTTGTGTTCACTGATTGTTTCTTCAACAAGTTTTTAGTCTTTCTCATGTGCAGACAGCAGCAGCATTAAGCTCTTAACAGTAAATATATCTTTGCTCTTTGTTTCAGGTGGAGTTGGTCGAGAACCGAACGCGACAAATCGACTGGCACTCTGAACTTCTCCTCTCCTCCTCCCAAGAAGTCCCAGAGAGCCACGTTCCCACAGCAGCGTCTCTGACCCCCACCGCGGCGTCCCTGATGTCGCCCGCAGCGGTGGCAGCCACCATCACTCCGGGAAAAACCAGCCACAGCGAGAAGAAGCGCGACGAGGTCACCCCAGGCTCGGGGGGCGGAGACAAATCTGGGGGGAAGCGCTCGAGGCGTCAGAAAAACGGAGAAACTCGTGAGAGCTACGGCGGTCTGGAGCACGTCGAGGATGTCGGGGTCGGGGCGTCGCGGGAAAAGAGGGCCAAAACGTCCTCGAAGAAGAAGAAGCGGTCGAAGGGGAAGTCAGAGAGAGAGGTGTCACCTCCAGACCTCCCCATAGATCCAGATGAGCCGACGTACTGCCTGTGCGAGCAGGTGTCGTACGGCGAGATGATCGGCTGCGATAACGATGAATGTCCCATCGAGTGGTTTCACTTCTCTTGTGTCGGGCTCCATCATAAGCCGAAGGGGAAATGGTACTGCCCCAAGTGCAGGGGTGAGAACGAGAAGACTATGGACAAGGCCTTAGAGAGGGCCAAGAAGGAGCGGGCGTACAACAGGTAGCTCGATCCATCGGTTCTGATTCACAGCGTTGTCTAAAATATAAATCTGTCTCGTCTCTGTTTTCTTTTGACTGTCTGTGTGTTTAAAAAAGGAAATTGATTTGATGAGAGGGATCTTGTAAATAGTTATTTTTGTAACTTGCTGCATAGCTGAGAACAGGATTGCTCCCTCATGGTGTGGGATTGTTTCTAACAAAATGGACACATGTAACCAGCTGTCCTGCACTTACACACCCCCTTTTGTTTTCATCTTGCATGCAACATCAACCCCACTCCATTTAATTGTGCTCAATTAGCCAAATAAAACATTTCCAAACAAACAAGTATTTTCATCATTGAGACATAGAAAGGGTCCTCAGAATCTCTTGAAGGTGCTTAAAGAGAATGAAAACGGCTGAAGAGTTATCAGCATATATTCTACAATTCACTTAGCAGACTCTTTTATCCAAAGCGACGTACATCAGAGAGTAAGAACAACACAAGCAAGGATCTAGAAAAAAGGGAACAATGTCAGTAAGAGCAAACGATCAGCTTTGAGTCTGATTGGACACACAGGTGCTGACAGGAAGTGACCAGAGGCAAAGCACAACATTGAGGGCAGTTCTTGAGAGCTCTAATCAGTATAGAAACCATCTTATAAGTCGTCGTTATCAAACAAAAACCATCGTCATTACCATCATCATCATCAATAATATGGAGACCATCATCATTAAGTTAGTAGGTATTCATGAAAGAGCTGGGTCTTTAGCTTTTTCTTAAAGGTGCAGAGGGACTCTGCAGATCACATGGAGTTTGGAAGTTCATTCCACCACCGGGGGGCGACAGAGGAGAAGAGTCTAGTCAGAGACTTAGGACCCTGTTGTGAAGGTTGGATATATCACACTTATATCAGGTAGCTGGAACCACACACACACACACAGGTTTTATAACTGCTGGGTATTAAAGAAAACTACTGCTAACAAGTTCACCATGCCAATAAAAGGCTGACGATGTTTTCACTTTCATCAACTGTGTCCTCTGAGTGTTAAGACAAGTCGGGTAATGTAGGTTTAAGTTAGGTTCGCACCTGATAGTCAGATATCCAGAAGTATATTAATCTCTCTGTCACTACTGGCCATGATGAGATCACCTCCTGTAGTGATTTTGGTGATTGTAGAGTCCATGTTGTGACTGCTTAAGTTCAGAAAAGGTTAAAAAGAAACTCCAGCAGTAAAAAAAGTTGAAACCTTCAGTTTGTTATTGTGAGGTATGCAAATCTGTTTTTCAGTGGACAATGTTTGCTGAGTCTCAGTAGATGGAAATTATCACAGTGAGTTAGTTCAAATAATACTTCTTTGAAGATACTTCAGGTGTCTATCTTAGACTGCAGAATTCTAATAAAATCTTAATGCATTTTTAAACAGAAGACTCATGACATGATTGCATGACAATATCACATTGAAGAAGGTTCTGTTTGTGTTTTATGGACAGCAGAAGTTCAAAATAAATAATAAACAAATTGTCATGTGATTCATTTAAAACATTAACCTGTCCTTACCCATACGGGTGAATTATATTACAGTTTTTATGAATAAATAAATACTGACCATTTAAATTTAAAGGAAGAATGTGACATTTTACACATAAATACAGCTGAAATCAAGAATATCCTGTGTTAATGTCTGAGTCATGACTGTCTACAGTGAGTGAGAAGCCAGAGTACCACCTGCTGTATTGTTGTTGGAGCTGTGTTTACATGGAAAAGAAGAATAACATCGTCTACTCACTTATTTGAATTTCACTTAAGTGTCTTTAGATCTCGGTCATTCTCTGTCAATTTATGTGCTATATGAAGCTACGACTTAGCCAAAGTGTGCTAACATTAGCATGCTAACAACAATGCAGACCACAGGTGATTGCAGCAGATTTGAACTGGAGTGGAGAGGGGTTGGAGGTGCGTCGCTGCAGGAGAGCGGAGGCTTCAGAATATCTCCTAACAGCAGTTTGTTTTTGTTTTTTATGCTGGTGCTCAAGGGCGACATCTACTGGATCAAAAGGTTGCACGTTCTTCCTTTAATGCTGCTAGTACAGTGCACATACTCACATCAATAAAAGATGATTTAAGACAGGGGGAGTTAGAGGATTTTATACATTTTAAATGAATGATTATTGAAGCAATGTTTTAAGTGTTTAATTGTTTTGCTCTACCTGAAGTTCTGCATTTTATATGATGCCATTTGTTAGTGTGAAATGACGACGTGTGCGTATAAAAAAACTGATATTTAACATTAAGTATTGACTCCTGTCAATGTAAGAATGATCTGTTTTTAGTTTTTAAAATATATACAATCACATTAACAAATGTTCAACTTCACGATGACTTTGCCTTTTTTTATTTACAAGGGCTGAAAAAAATGACAATGGGAGACAACCAGTGCAAAATCTGTACATAAATTCAGTTGCAGGTTTTCTTTATATACATGAGTACTGAACAGGAACATGAATACACTCTTTCTGTCATGCATGTAACAAGATTTCACAACACAGCAAAAGACAAGGTGTAAAGATGTCTGATTTGAGTTAAAGTCTGTGATGCTCGGGCTGCTCGTTCTCCACAGGACAGGTGGGATGAGAAAGAGCTCAGACAAACTGCATGGTGAGAACAAACTGAGGATAAGGAATACAACAGAACAGGAGCCAGGACTTAATTGATAAACCCTCCAAGACAGTTCACATAATTAGTCAAGGGGGAGTTACTACAGCAAGTAAGAACACACCAGAATTTTTGGGGTAATGGCCCACAAGTCCATACTGAAAAAACAACAAGGCAAGATTCAGCACATTTCCCCTGAAATGGAAAAATAATGAGGGTAGAATAGAAAAAATAGATTCCTCTTGATGGGCAAAAAGAAAAAAAAATATGAAGGGGAAGTTGGAGGTAAAGTGCATAAAAGCTTAAAATCAAAAAAGGAGGGGGCCCAAAAAATGAAGAGGTACTCCACTAAAACTTGCAGCACACACAGCTTCACGATTGAGAGAGCAGCTACGAGGACGGTCAGGTCAACTGTCTCTCCAGCTTTGTTCTACGATGGCCGACACGCGTTTTTCGTACTCCCGCTTGTTCTCCTGGTACAGCTGAGCGGCCTGACTGTTGGCTGGACTGTTGGGGTTTGGCTCATCAAGCAGGGACTGGAGAAAAAGAATCGACACTCAAGGTGAGAGGGGTTTAGTGAAAAAACCAACACCCGATCATCATAAGCACTCATCTGTAAATGTTTATGGTCCATGACGAACACTTTAGAGCTTGGTTTAAAGTTTTAGTATTCTGTGATTATCACTGAGCAGCTCTGAATTTGGGACTGCTGGTCTGACAAAACAAGATGCTCCTTAGGCTCTAGGATTTTTAAATGGGCATTTTTCTAACACAACTTTCTAACATTTATCGACTGATTTGATCCTGAAAACAAAAACCTAAAGCAGCCCTAATGACTTCACATTAACTTCAAGATCACTTTAAAAGTAACAATTGTCGGCTCATAGGTTGCAAAATGAGCAATTTATTCAAAATCTGATGCACCATATATTATTTCAATCCTTTATCAAAAACACTAACTAAGTCGTGGTTGCAGTTTTTCAATGTTAAAGATAGGATTGTCAAAATCAACATGTCAGATTTTTACGAGTAAAATCAGGCGATCCTGCATTAGTTACATTTATGATCATGTTGTTCATTCACACTCCTTACCTGGATAGATGTAAGAATAGAGGACACATCATAAGTTGGACTCCAGCGGTTCTGCAGGATGTCCAAACATATACTGCCGTCTGCATAGACTGTGGATAAAAAGCTCAGTTAAAACACCGCTCACAGCAGAAAATGTTTTTAATGCGTCTGAAAGATGAAAAGATGTTCTTACCATTAGGATGAAACATCTTTGACACAAAGCGTACTGTGGGGGGTTTGTTGGGGTATTCTTCTGTAAACTCTACAATGAGTTTAAATGTACCTTTGATAAAGACACACACACACAAAAGTCATTAAAACATGATTGTGTTTGTGGTGTGGAATGTTTTTGATGCTTTCCATTAATCCTAACCGGAAAAAACAACACCTTATATAAATATGTGAATATTACAGGATTTTATATTATTATTATTATATTATAAGGAAAAATTATATGTATTTGTATTTATACAGGGTGGCATGAAGCCAAACTGTTGAGAAATGATGACCTCAATATGTTTTTTTTCACTTAATTGATAATAACACATGGTGAAAAGTGCAATTATTCTCGTTTATTTATGAGTCTTACAGATTAATATAGTCTGACATTATGGTGATGCATCACTTTGACACAAATCTGTAAGATAAAAAAATGATGTATGGGGTTGTTAGGCAACCAGCACCAATTCAATTCATCTACGTTACGTAAGACACGATTTTCTATACAGTATAGTTTCAGTACACCTTACTATAGTAACTAATAAATCAAGAACAGGGTAAACGACTTACCATCTTCAAAAGGAGTTCCTTCAGGGCTGTGAGGTTAGAGTGAGAAAAAAAAAAGTCTTCTGTCATTACTTGCTCCTTAATGCAAAAGATGTATGAGATCTGTGGTTCAGAAAAACTATAATAAAACAGTTCAGCTTCAGTGTCTTACCCAAATATGACTGCATTCCACACCATGATGTTGTTTTCAGATGGTGCACCACTGACACCAGCTGGAGGGTCCTCTTGTAGCCTTTATGACATAATAAAAAAAGTAGAAAACAGTTACAACAAAAGCGCTTAACCCAATGTCCCTTTATGAACCACAGCTAAGTACAACATTTCAAATCAACTCAACCTCCTGCTGGCTTTAAAACAAACAATTGTGATTACTTTTGCACTAATGTTTGATTGTGTGATTTGCACCTTTAACCCTGAAGAAGACTGACGTGATCAAAAGAACATCAGTTATCCGCTTTGAACAAATCCCATCACATGAACAAACGTCTGTTTCTTTTTAACCACTTTTCTGTTAATTAAAGTTTAACCAACATATACTTTCATCATAGATTAATATTTACACAAGCAAGCGACAGAGACCCTATCACTGTGGCCATTTAGAAGTCCTAGCTAACTTTGAATCATTTAGGAGGAGCAGATTTATAATTTCTGGTATTTTTTTTTTACAACGATAATATTGAGTAACAAAAGAAAACTTAAATGGTAGAAAATACAAAGTAAATCCATCCTTGTACTGATACAGTTTTATAATTGTAATACTATTTTCTTGCAGAACTTCAAGTCTACAAGACAAGTTTGTTTGTCTACACTCCTGCACTTTAACTCATGTAT